AATTTGGTAAATGCAAATTGTTCTTCAGAAGCAAACCATTTTCCCCATGTCCAATGGGAGCTCTTTTACAGTATTTCTTTAGGGAGAGGAATAACAAATACAATACATTAATTATTGACGTTTGTGTATTGAATATTAGTAACAAAATTATACAGGAGCAGTTGGTGGGTATTTTTTTCCGCGTTGAAAACGACGTGTTAACACTGACACTGCAAAACCCAGGTCTTGAGGTTTGGGTGTGTATATGTTGAAAACCAAGCTCTTACAGTAGTTACCAAGTAAATTAGGAAGCTCTTATTAACAATGCCAGCAAATTATTACCAACTTCAACAGAAGTGTATGTATGTGACAAGTGTAAGAAGCCATCTTTGAATAGTTATAAATTGTTCTCGATTTTAGCTTTGGCTACCAGGTTTGAATTTCAAAATAATAACTCTGGAAGTCACATGTTTTCATCAGAGTTCTGGGTGTCTTACAGAGTTAAGAAACTGAAGTGCAAACAGTAAATCTTTGAGCAGGACTGGGTAAGTCCTTAATACAGAAAATATTTCATTCACTACCAAAATGTGGCCATTTTAGAAGCGGTATGTAAAAACGGCCTTTGGCAAAGCACCACACCATGCTTGGTCAGTAACCACAGAGGAAAAATGTTACCAGCTAGGAGCTGCAAAAGCAACAGTGGGTAGAGACAGTGCAACTTCTAGAATTCAAATTTGGGAAGAATAAAGCTGGTAACTGAGATTCCCTTTGGAAAACTCCCCTTTGTTTTTTAGCAGTAGCAGGACTTGGGACTTGCATGGACGGGACTTGTCCCCTCGTTGGCAACAGAGTGTGCTGCTAGGACAATGTTTTTTTATTACCTGTGAGACCTCGGTGAGGGACCTCGCAAAGGTGATAGAGACAAAATGGAAATGACAGAACTTAAAGCATAACCAATGCATTTATAAATAGTTTCTCTGTGAAATATAGCCTTAAAACTTCAGACTACCCTGAACCAGGACTTCAGATCCACTCCCAGCAAATTCTAAATCCAAAGGAAATATGTGGGTAGCGACTCCTTCTGATGCCATCGTTGCGCTTTCACTACTGAGCGATTTCCTGCGTCAGTGTGATGCTTTGACTGGCTGCATTCCTAAGTTTTTTGTACAAGTTAAAAACCCCAAGAGGTCGATGAAAAGAATTCATATCAGCCGTGTTCAGCTTAAAAATGAAGAAAAATAAATCCTATGATTTTGGGACTGGTATGTGATATTTGAACAAGAGGGATTCACCTAAAAAAAGATACTGATGTCCATGCACGTCACTGCAAGCAGTTTGGCAAAATATGTCTTGTTCATTCAATGTGTAAGTAGAACACGAAGTATAGTTGTGAACCAGCTGAGAAAAACTGGATTCAGGTTTTATTAGTTCCTCAAACTGTAACCCAGCTGTGAAAAGATTTATGTTAAGTGTCAGTGTGATTCTCAAACAGGAAAAAAAGTTGATCATGATGAAAAATTAAGATGCAAAGATAGCTCACCATCCCTCAAAACCCTAAATCCCAGCCCTCCCACCAAACCCAGAGATTTCCTGGCCTCCTTTTTGCACAACCAAATACTATTCAGTGGATAGATATAACAAGTGTGTGTGTGTGTGCATTTTCACATGTAAATTGTGACTTGCTAAGTAAGCAAGAGTCTATCCTTAATTTACAGCAGATGAAAAGGCTTTATCCCGTACTGAGAGACTGGTTTACTTTCTCATGTGTAGTAGGTAGGGACTGGATGTTGCTGGTCCTCAGGGATGTGTTGATCCAGTCTAAGGGTAAATGCAGCATTAGTGCTGTACATAGAAAAGTATATGTTGTAAACTAGCTGGGCAGTCAGAAAGCACCAGTTTCCTGCTACAGAGGTTTTGAAAGAGAAGTAGTATCTTTAAATAAAGGCTACAATTAACTGGAAGTCCAGTGAAGGACCTAAAGAGACATCAGTGGGCTTTCAGTCAGACTGGAACGGTGCAAAGAATACCTCAAGGAGTGTAACGTATAAAATTAGGAGAAACCCAGGAAACTGCACAATACTCGCTGTCGCAGATGACGGCAGAGGCATGGCGAGGGCAGGAGCTGCAGGGCTGCGGCTCCCCGTGCGCACCAGCACGGCGCAGTACAGCGAAGAGCAGCAACATCTGTCTCAGCTGCAGCTGAACCCAGTCCTGGGAAAGTTTGCTACTGCTCGCCCCCAGATCACTGGTATGTTTCATGGAGGCTGAAGTTTTTTAAGGGACAATTACAACAAAACTCTTCCCGCTAATGCAAGCAAAACGAAAATGTTGACTTTGGTTTTCAGCGGGTTTCCAAAGATTTACCACTTCTGCTGAGGAGGCATCTGCGTAAACTAGCTGTTTGTTGCAGAGCCCAATGCCTAGAAACCCCCCTGAAGCCTTTGATCTCATACAAATGTGCAAATGTTGAGCAATAAGACCTTGCACATGAATAGCAAATTCTATATAATAACTTGCAAATATGTGGCATAAAAATTGACGACGTTACGCTGACAATCCTTGGAAGTCTTCCAGTGTGGCAAAGAACACAGGAGCAGCGCCAGTTGTCAGGAGGGACCCTTGGCTTGGAGGTGAAGGATTTTTGCAGATGCAGTTGCACACGTTGCAGTGTGCAGAGGACCCGAGCCTGTCAAGACAGTTTGACTGACAGTAGCAAGTCTGCAGTGCTGGAGGGAGTTGCATCTGGAAGGCGTGTGTGCTGTGATGCACTGTGCTGGTGAGGGGTAGGATTCCTGGAAAACCACTGGGGCTAGGCAGGAAAATGCTCTCCTTTCCTAGGGAGCTGGCAGAAGCCTCTGGGCTCGCACCCTTCATTCTGGAGACAGCACATGGATCGTATTTAAAGGCCCCTTTTACTCCTCCCGCTCAGTAACTCACCATTGTCTGACAAATAAAGGGAAAGTTAAATAAACCAAGTGAGATGGTATTGCTCAGCCTGGCAATCCACCCTCTTCAGGCTGATTTCATGCAGACGACTTCTTGTTTAGTCTCAGAGTACCTTCCTCTTTCTTTCTGCACATCTTAGCATTTCTTTAAAAAAAGATTGTAAAAATACCGTTTCTTAAAAATACCACTTGCTTGGGGGTGGGGACAGAGGGATTTGTCTTATCTCACTTGCTTAGGCAGACTGAATTTTGAAAAGTAATTTAATTCCAAGTGACACTCATGCTACACTTAATCTTAGACAATAAGTCTGGAGTCTGGAAGTCCACTTACAGCTGAAATTTTATAAGTTGTGCATATAGAATATATTGACGCCTAATACAAGGCATTTTATGAGAACGGACTATTACAGTGTAGAGCGTGATAAATTTTAAGTAGCAAAAAATGGGCTATTTAATATTTGTGGAATTACTGCATATGGAAAATTGCTTAATGGAGAGGGTCTCCTCCAAGTTTTCTTAGAAACAAGGTGTTACTAAGGTCCATAAAGAAAGGGCCTACTCCTCCCACTGATACTCTAGGACAACTTTTTTCTGTTAGTTGGAAAGTGAGAGCGTTTCTTCAGATTTGACATATTGCCAGTTCCCTCAATGTATAGAAATAGGGTCCCACTGACATGGACTTGTTTTGTGAGATAGATTGGTTCTTGATTTTTCCTTGTAAGGTGATCTCCACTTCATAGATAGCAGCAGTCCTTTTTCCATTCACCGAACTCCAGTCCAGAAGGCCAACAAAAACCTCCTTTGCTCTTGCAGCAGATGATGGCAGGAGCTTCCCAGGGAGGCTCCTGGTGAAGGACTCCCAGTTGTCTGACTGACATTTTCCACCCCCAATGCATTGTCATTGCAAGAGTAAAAAAGATATTTGGAGGCTGTGGAGTGCTCATGGTAAATGTGTCCTCCAGGGCACAATAAATCTGGGTACACCTGCAGATTTCCCTGGGGAAGTCAGCTGTGGTGGGTGAGGCCACAAAGGCTGAGGAAGGTTGTGGTAAGCAGCATGGGTAAGTGGTTATTTTGTCCCAAAGGCCGTTGACTATGATGGCATAGACACAGCCGGTGCTTACAACGTGTGGCAAGCAGAGCACGGGTGTGAAACACGTATGGACCATGCTCTGCAAGCAATTCACAGCTCAGTCGTGCCGTATTTGGACCAAGCACAATGACACCCAAACCCATACCTCCAGTTCCTGTTGCCCCAGCGTGTGCTGGTGTCTGTTGATCAAGCTAGCAGCCCCTCGCTCAACAGAGCACTTGGCGATGTGCTGAGAGAAGAACTTCACCAAACTCTGGCCTTTGGCTCAGGCCACAGCCCATGGAAATCAGGAGGTGGGCCTACTGGCCTGGATCAGCTCCAGGTCAGGTGCCAAATCTGTAAGGACGGTCCTTGCTCTGATTATTGCATGCTATAAACACTGAGTGCATTGTTGGCACTAAATGTGTATTCAGAAATAACTCCTTTTTTTTTAACAGTAGATTTTATTAGGTATGAAAGCACAGATAAAACATTTGCTTGCACTCAATAACCCCAGAATCACTTCCATATGGATATATAGCATCAAAAATACACCCCTTTACTATCCAAAATATTCCCCTTTGCTAAGTCAGCTACGATTCAATAAAGACTTCTCTCTTCCCTTAAAAAATGAGTTCAGGTCTATGTACATTTGTACCACATGTACATACACCAACTTACGCACAAATTTTGATGATGAAACTGTTTAACAGCTTCCCTATCGTTAAATTCTTCTCCATCCCCTGTTCTAGGCAGAGAGCGCTGCTTTTGCTTCTACTTTCCATCTTCCTCCCTCTTGATTCAATTCCATGTTCAGCCTTGACATATTGTACTTTTTTTGTTTTTAAAATTTTTATTGTTTTAGAATATTTAATGCTTAACAAGAGGCATGTCAGCAATTCAGTGCAGCCGTTAGGTCTCTTCATATAGGTAATGGCAATCTCTCAGCGGTGGCTATCCCTGCAGAAGACATAATTACATACCTTTCTTCTTCACAGAGCCTGTTAGATGAAGACAGAGCCATCCTGGTCACTGGTGTTCAGGGTTATGTTGCTGTTCACGACACTTTCTGCATAGCTAGCTGAATAGGTGACCTGGTAGCGACTGCAGGGGCCACAGAAACACAGGAATGGACAGTACTTTAAGCAGATGTGATAAAGGTATTTCCTGAATTTTTCCCCAGCAAAGGCGTAGATAAGAGGATTGAGACAACAGTGACTAAATGCAATGGTTTCGGTCAGGTGCAATGCGTAGTCCAGTGATTTAATTTGGTTGCAACTTGTGAATAACTCATAGTGCCTTAAAGTCTCTAGAAAAATCAGTACATTGTAGGGGGACCAAAACAGAAAAAACATGACCACCACAACCAAGATCAGTTTTACAGCTCGTGCTTTTTTCTGATTTTTACAGGACAGCAGGGTTTTGACGATCCCACAGTAGCAATAGCATATGATACAGACTGGGATGAAAAAGCCGATGGTGTTCAGCTCCACATTGCAGAACACCAGCCAGATGTTCTCTAGCTCCTGGGGGAAGACAGAAATGCAGTCATTTTCTACCAGCTGGGAGAACACAAATTGCGGTACTGAAACTAAAACTGCCGTTGCCCATACTCCGCAGGTTATAAGAAAGCCATGTTTCACTGTTCTAGATTTCAGAGAATATGTTGCCCGGACAATGGCCAAGTATCTGTCGATACTGATAACAGTGATAAAGAACATGCCCCCAAAGAAACCAATGTAATACAGTGAGGAAACAGCTGTGCATGTAATAGTTCCGAGAGTCCATCCACGCACCATGTTGGAAGCCCAGAAGGGGAGGGAGATCACAAAGAGAAGGTCTGAGATAGCCAAGTTCAGGAGATAGATGTCAGTGACGCTTTTTTTACTGCCTTCTTTCATAATGGCAAAAACCACCATTAGATTCCCTGTGAGGCCAAGAGCAAACACTGCGATGTAAAATATTGGCAGAAATATTTTCCCAAATTCTTGGATGTCAGTCTTATTGCAGGAGAAAGCACGTTCATCATAAGTATATTCAGCTGTCGTTTCTGTGAATGCTTCCGTCATGCTGAATTTTCTGGCTAGAGGCAACGTGAAAAGGGAAAAGAGAATAACGTTAGAGAGAGAGATCAGTATTTGCTATGGTAAAATACTGAGACACGTCACCCACACGCACGCTTTGGGATTTTGTCACTATTTGGGTTAGTGAAAGTTGTATTGCTGCGGAGGTGATGGTAGTTACTAACAAAAGCCCAGACTCTGCTGTTACGTGTACTTCACTGAAAGTTAGTTCTTCAGGATAAGAAGAAATAAATGAGAATTTCAAGGGCTGCTGAACAAGCCCCTGCTTATCAGAAGAGCAGCAGCAGCAAACCGACACCCAGCTAACTGAGCTCTGCAGGCGGTGCCTCGCAGCGTGAGGAGCGCGGGCGCTCTCCCAGGCCGCGGGGCAGCGCTCAGCAGGA